TATATATATATATATATTTGTGTTGAGCCGAATGCGAACTGCGACAGAGCTTGTCGGTAAAATTATCATGATAAGGTGTTGTAATTTGTTTATGGCGCGTGCGAGATAGTCAGCTGTGTACTACTTCAGACCGGTTTATGAACGGCATTTGTGTGTACATTCACCCCGCTCCTTTCCCATCTTGAACGTCATTTGCACTGCTCACCGCATACATTGTTGCCTTATGATTTAAATTGTTCTTAGTAATTTCCGGCACTGGGTATTAAGTTTTTTTTTGACCCCTACTTTAAAGGCTAGCCGTTTGGTCGCCAACGGACCGCCGGGTCAAACGTCGGACGGGTTGTCGGAAATTAGCCATCATCGGAACTGGTTGTCGCTAATTTTCGTCCGTAGCGTGAGTTTTTTTGTTGTTGTGTTCGCTGCAACATTTTAAATTTATAGATATATTTTTTCGTGAGTGTCCGCAATNTTTATATTTCTATTTTTTTTTATCGTGATTGGCCGCTAAATTTGTATTATGTAAATTTTTGTTTAATGGCGTCGGTTGAGCCTGCCTCCTATTCTTTAGCCCTTCGGGGCCGGTAAGGTATAATTTATTATTTATGTTTTGAGCTATACCTATTTTTGTTTTTTATTAGTGCGCCGTGCCTTAAGCACGTGTAGCGAATTTTTTTATTTTTATTTAGGTGTCCTTATTTTTTATTTAGATCCCGCAACATGACAGGCGTGTACAAGACCACCTGTCATGTTATANTACCATCTAACATGTTATATCTATATTTTTTGTGATTTTTTTTATAGGTTTTATATTTTATTTTATTGGGTGATGAATAGGTTATTAGTACAATGTGGTGACGTAGTGCATTTTATTCCGGATGTCCCAACGTCTTGCAAGCTAAGTCTAACTGCCTAAAACCAGTCGCTTACTTGGGACGTATACCCAATGCCGTGATTAATAGCCGGTNTGCTTCCTTGGGACGTTTGAACCCGAAGACGTTCATCGTATTCTCTAATAATAAAAGTGTAGGTGTAACTATTTTTTTGTTAATATCTGTTTTTTTTTCTCTGTTCCCCTTTAAATTGTAGACGAGGTTTTTTGACCATTCGGTTTTTTGCCTCGTGTTAACTTAATTTTTTTTTTACTTAATAAATTCCCCTTAATATAACTGAACCATCATATTTTTATTTTTTTTGCGTGTTCCATCTTCAATGGGCTCGTGTATTTTTTTCCTTTCAAAAATCATCTCCCTTTAGTTTATAAGGTACGGGCAACGGCCTTGTATAAGGTCATCCCTCATTGATACGGTTATGTGACAACTGTCACGAGGTTTTGGTGTACATCTACTATCAACGACTCAACAGACATCAACTTTAGTATTTATTAATTTTATATTTTTGTTTAATTGTTTTAATATATAAAAGTTAATTGTCTTTAAAATCCTACTGTGGTCCGACAATACATTGTCTCGCCCAGAGGTTGGCGACCCTTTTCTTGTAATTTTTTAATGCGCAATGAAAGTTACAAATTTTTTCGTTGCGGCCAATTAGTTTGATTTTTTTTATATTTGTAACCTTTCATGCCGTTTTCTAATACCGACGGTCTGTTTGGGCACTGGCATTGCCAGTGTCGCTCGCCGCAATATCGGCACGGGGTAGGCGGTGCGTCCGCGTTTGCATAACCCACTCGCTGTCGGGCCGCTGGTTGCGCGGTATGCCGCGGAGGCAGATCGGCTGGCTGTTGGGACGCTGGAGGAGCGTACCGAAGAGCCGCGGTTTTATCTACGTCATGCACTATTTTATGTAGATCGGCGAAAGACGCTGGGTGCATTAACCGTATCATAGGGCGGTAATCGTCCCGTAAAAGCCCCGTTAACTGTCGCACAAGTTNCGGTAATCGTCCCGTAAAAGCCCCGTTAACTGTCGCACAAGTTGTTGCTCCGGTAAACCACAACGTACTCGCGCGGCCGCCAAACGTTATTTATGAATGATAAACTCGCTTAACGTTTGTCGGGGGTCCTGTCGCGTCGTTTTTAATTCCGTCTCGAGCGCAGTCCTGATATCGATATTGTCCATCTCCTCGAGTAATTCGGACCTAAATTCCGCCCATTGCATATTGTTTAATTTAATCGCTGGCCACCAATCCCCTGCCCTGTC